TACAATAGGAATTAATTAACAAACATATTACAGAAAGCAACTTGTTTTTGAGTTTTTTGCAAAACATTTCTAGTTTTAGTTTTATATCTCAAAAGATCAAAAGGTTTTTTAGATTTTTCAAAAGTTATAAAATGTGGCAACTCATCAAACCGCAAAACCACACTTAAACCGCACAAACCGCCCGCATCAAACCGCACCACATAACGCGGTTTTGAACTTCTGCGGTGCGGTTTGCGGTTTCAAAAAAACTCAAACCGCATATGTGGTGCGGTTTGCGGTTTTGGACTTAAACTGCACCAAACTGCACCGCGCACACCCCTAGTCTATAGTATCACATTTTGAATATGTACAATCTATCTCAAATTTAGAATACCATCGATCTTCTCTCAAATGTTTTCACTTAATCAAACATATCTCTCAAATAAAACTTGTTAAAATAATTCTTTCAATCTAACATAGTTTACATCTATCTTGACATAGAATTTGAGTTTGATATCCTAATTTCCTCAATATAGGACCATAACCTTGCATAGTGTTCAAGAAGATCGCCACCAATCAAATTTAATGCATGATTTTTTTGGCCCTCTGACATTGTCCAACACTAACTTTAATCCCAACATTTTATTTAACCTCTACTCTAAGTTTTCAAACACTTATTTTCTACTTATGTAATATTTCTTTGGTGTAGTGCTTCCCAATCCATGCATAGTATGCAATTGAACCCATCTTGTAATTTCTAGCATAATTATGGTTATTTGTTTATGTTTTTTCTAAGAATAAGTGTTCATCACTCATCCATGACCCCATACCTTGAAAGTACAATGCCCTTGACAACACTTAATTAAAAGTCTTCTAGTATCATTCTTTTTGAAACATAATTGATAACCACTTGCAACAACATAATTTCAAAACATATGTTTCTACTGTTTAGGTTTTCAAATCTCATATCTAGTACTAGCTTCTAACTGAATGATGGCTATAGACTCATTAAATTTTGAATGATTTGCATTTTTTTTACACTGTCTCCAACTTCATCTAACCCTCATTCGTTATCAACATTATCCGCTTCTTCTCTTTTGGTTTGAGTTCTTCATCAACACAAAGCTTACTTAAAAATGAGTCATTATTTATCTTGTTCAAACAACAAATTTCATCATTTAGTTCACATCACTAGAGAAATTATATGAAAGCAAGTCCTTTTACCCTCACCCTCAATACGCGACTGGTGATTGCATGGACTTTCAACTACTTCTTGGTCGTTATCAAACCATTATTGTAAATCTGAACCAAAATGGTCAAAATATATACATAGAAATTTTGCATTATCTACTATAATTAAACCATGATAAAATTGGCATATCCAACTCCATTCTTAATTAAACATATACCATCTTTCAAACATTTATTAGGCATGCAGTAATAAAGTTTCAGATAATGTTCTTGTGTCAATCTTTCCATAAAACTTACGCATTCATCAAAATCCGTACCAACTAAATCCACGTCTCTCAACTAGTTGATGCATGTCAATATGTCATCATCTTATGAAAAAGGGTACCCAACCAAGACTCCATGCAAGTTAATATCAACAAAGACATTATATAACGAATATGATGTTATTGTTCTTGAGACTAAGAAGGCAATGAATCTAGAGAAAAGCGGATTTTTTTTTGTATACACTTTTGATTCGAATGAGGAGGTTTGTTCTGAGTCTTTATTAATAAATATTAATATTAATAAGGTGACTTTAAATTATTTTCTTTTTACACACATGGCAAACACAAATAAATGCTTACAAGGATGTCATATAGGAGCATCCCGGTTTACCCTTTCAGTTTGGTGAATGACGTTTCTAATAGGTGAAATGCAAGTTGAAACACCAAGACTACCTACAAAAATACGAGGGACTTTTTAAAACCAAAATAGACACATGGTGAAATTAACCTTAATTTTAAGTGTAAACAAATAATCTAGCATGTTCCAAATAATACAAAAATTGAACTTGATTCAAACCGAATAACCCATACGTATATTTCGTATGAGATCGATTGGCCAAGTAATAATATAAGTATATAACAAGAGTATAGACTATAGAGGTCCTGAGTTTCTGGTTGTGTTTTAATATTATAATTCACAAATATTGTTTAGCTTTATTATATTATACACATCATACAATATTTTAATAAAAATTAATATCTTAATCACAAAAATTGATAATAAAAAAGTAGTTGGCTATATAAATATTCACGAATAAGATATCTTCATCTTAAATATTACATATTTACTCCAATTGTCCAAAAAAATATCCAAAGCAATGATTGATTCAAAGTGATGTTTAGTTTTATTATCTTTTTCGTTCATTTTCATGCCAAAACACACACATGTATAATCTAATACCAAATTGCTTTTTTTTAATATATTTATTTTAAAAATGATTAATACTAGATTGTTTATTTGTTGTATCAAAATATTTTCATATACGTACCTTAATAGGTTATTTGATATGGTTTTTATTGGGTTGGATAAAAAGAGTTGGATCTGATTCAATTAAATTCAAACCGTTTAATATCATATTTAGAAGACTTTAATTTTATTCCAACTCCGTATATTTCTTGCTCTCGATCAGCAACTATCAAAGATTCATTAAATTAAATTTTGTCTCCACTCACAAAATAAATAAAAACAATTTCTTTTTCTATTTTGTATTTTGTATTTAATGATCGAAAAAAGAAAGAAATAAATGCAACTGATTTGTCTCATCCAAACCTCCATTTGATGATATATTGCAAAGAAGGATCCACAGATTATTAAACCAATCAAAATCCCATCGCCCTCGTACTCTCTCTGCAATTCATTATTCACTTTCCAAAATGCCCTAATTTTCTCCATTAAAACGATGAAGATGAAGACCCTAAGGGATTAATAAATCCTCAATCTATCCCTTCTTCATTTCTCTTCTTGTTCGAAATTAGGGTTTTAGGGATAGAAAGATAAAAAAAAGGGGGTTTTGTTTTTGATTGCTTCTGTAACTATTTCTCTGACGATCATTGGATGCACGTGGGGTACGCGAAGCAGAAATTTCTTTCGTTTTCTCATCGCAAACATTTATTTGTTTTTCTTTTTATTAATTAATTATTTCTTCAAGGGGTTGGTCCCAATGACTCCATGTTACGACATCTTGATTGTATTTTATTCAAGTTTTATACAAATCAGTAAAAATGTAAGCAAAGCATCAAGATCAGAGTCAATAGTTTGTATCTATCGTCACTGTGTGTTTGTGTGTGTAATAAGTGTGAGTTTTTTTATATATATTCATACCCAACTTCCACTTTAATCATCTTCTTCCTTCTTTTGCCACGCATCCCCCCTTTCTTTTTCTTATTTGTAAGCCCCCCTTTCTCTCTCTCTCCATCTCTCTCTCTCTCTCTCATAAATTATGATCCTAAATTTTTCATTGCAGCTTCAAGAATGTATGATGTCGAGGATAATTTTGTTTAATTTCTTTTGTCTTTCTATACCTAATTGTGATCTGGATTTTTCTATAATGCAGTAGTATGATATTATCTCTCTGTTTTTTACTATAAAATCCATTACTTTTCTTAAATCTTGAACTCTTCATTGTTATTCAAGAAAATTTTCATTACGATTTATATATGACATGATGATCACATTGAATTATGTTTCTTTTGACGAATCAGAAATTAAATTGAAATATGGAATCGAAAAAAGACAGGGGTGAAGTGAGGATTCATGAAAATTTAGATGAACTTAGCACAGATTTGGCTGATTACGTGGCAGAATTATCAGAGGCATCTGTGAAAGAACGTGGCGTTTTCGCCATTGCTTTATCTGGAGGTTCTCTCATTAGCTTAATGAGGTAAAATTACAAATACAATAATAATTAATTATTATTTGACCAATTATTGATATTTTTCTTCATCGAATAATATGATTTTTAAACAGGAATCTATGTGGAGCTCCTTATAACAAAACCGTAGATTGGTCCAAATGGTATATATTTTGGGCCGATGAACGTGTGGTTGCTAAAAATCATGTCGATAGTAACTATAAACTTGCAAAAGAACATCTTTTGTCTAAGGTAATTAATTAATTCTTGTTTTATAATTGGATCTGGTTATCTTTCTTGATTTAATATTCGTTGCATAAAGATTGTAAATATATTCTATAGTTTATCTCTAGAAATATTTCATGATCAAAAGAACACTAATCTTGTTTTTGCCTTATCCATTTCTTGATTTTTAAGATCTTAATTACATTTCCAGTTGTTACCCACATTATCCCTTTGTTTATTTGATATTGTTCTGGGACAAAAGTCCCCCACTTTTATTTTTTAATATTCACTTGAGGCCAACAATTTAAGGGTCTATCCCTTTACAATAGTTACGTATTCGATTTGTAGTTTGTTCAGCTTTTCATATACAATATGTGGACCACCTTGAGTGGTCCACCAATAACTTCCATCATAGTTTTAAGTTGATCAGTTAGTTATTGGGTTTGTGTCTGTGACTGCGTAGTTAACGACACCAACCCAATAAATTAAATCAATGATTTTAAGTTGATTTAAAAGTTTTTGGGCTTGTCAGAGACAAGCTTAGTAACTTATATCATGATTATCATGATTTTAAGTTGATTAGACAGTTACCTATTGTTTCAAACAATAGGTAACTGAAAGTTAACCGGCTAATCTGTAACTTTTGCAGTTACCTATTGTTCCGAGCCATGTACATTCCATCAATGATTCCCTCACTGCGGAAGAAGCTGCGACTGAATACGAGTTTGTGATCAGACAACTTGTGAGGACACGTGTCATCAACGTGTCTGACGTCAGCGACTGCCCAAAGTTTGACCTAATCCTACTTGGCATGGGCCCGGATGGACACGTGGCGTCTTTGTTCCCTAACCATTCGGTTCTTGAAGAAAAAAACGAGTGGGTGACATTCATCACCACTTCACCTAAACCTCCGCCCGAAAGAATCACCTTCACCCTTCCCGTTATCAACTCTGCCGCCAATGTGGTGGTGGTGGTGACAGGTGGCGGAAAGGCAGAAGCTGCCAGGCTGGCGATAGATGATGTGGGACCCGAGTGTGAGGTGTTGCCAGCTAGGATGATTGAACCGGTTGTTGGGAAGCTGGTTTGGTTTTTGGATAACCAAGCTGGTTCAAAGCTTAAGAGCTTTTCTTAATTTTCTAAGTAGAGAGGGTTATGCTCTTAATGTTAGTGGAGGGATTCATACCTGTTTTTGGATAGTTTTTCATTGTTTTTTGGTACCCATGTGGCAAAAACGCGATTTACCCTTTTTTGGGGTTCTTTTCATTTGCAAGAGGTGTTTGACAAATTTACCCTTGGAATTACATCTTTTGGACTCTTTTGTGCATAGTGATGACCTCATTTGCACTTGTTGCATTTCATAGTGTTTTGACAACTTTACCCTTGAATCATTATTAAGCAAAAGAGTACCATTACCTATCTTATATAGTTATATGTCTCCAACAACATGGGACCTCATCCATGATGATAAGTTTTTTTAGTATATATGCAAAACCAATTATCAAGAGTTTGAATGATTATAAGTTTATTATTAATTTCGTTCTTGATTACTAGTGTCAACAAAATTTGATTTGTATGCTAATACTTCATCGTATCTTTTGAATACTATTGTGATATGCACTATGAATAGTTTGACGAATGATATTGCTTGCACTATGGACCCTAATCGATAAGCATTGCACTAAGATTTATTTTAAACTAAGGTTTGCTTAAAAGATTATATTTACGTGAGTATGGACTTTGCAAAAGCACTAATGGCATGAAAGATAATGCACTAGTGATTTCTTTATATGGGAGATTAGCATTAATCACTACGATAACCAAAATAGAAAGATGTTGGAACAAAATGACGTATCTTCTAGAAAATTATATCATAAAAGAACCATTTATTTCGTAAAATGGTCTAGAAATTATCATAAAAGAATCATTTATTTCGTAAAATGGTGTGAAATTATTTTAAGTGATTCATACATAATTTAACAATTTATGTTTTATAGGATTGTACATTACAATATTTCAAAGCATAAATTGTTATATATATATGTAGAAAAGTTGTATACGAAACAACTCTCATTATCTTATAAATGGTCTATATGCTATTTATTTCACAAAATAATATGGCAAAAGTAAGAACATTTTAATAATATGAGTTAATATTTCTTTTTTTTTCTTTGCAGTTTTTTTTCATATTTTTATGAAATATTACTAATTTTGATGTTTTACACCACCGGAAAGATCATGTCTTTTGAGATAAATAATGTTTTTTTATAAACGGCAAACAAATTAAGTGGAAGCTTACTCACAATATTTCAATGAACACCTCAGGTTCGAGCTCTTTTACAGGGCGAACCCAGCCCCCATAAGGATTTCCATGGAAAAATTTCTCACATGTGGCACCACAAGATGTAGTTTAAGGGAATCAAACTCCTAACCTCATGTCCCACTATAAAACCTGATGCATCAACCCAGCTAGGTTGGACATCACTTGCTCGAGATAAATAGTTAAATATTTATGCTTGGTGTCTTGTTATATGATATATATGTGTCCAAATCTCTTCAAAGGTCCCATTTTTCTCCAGTTTTCATCTTCCAGTCGATACACAATGGCATGTTTATCTTTCAATTAAACAGAAAATAAAAAAAACTTCATAAATGGTCCCTGTGGTATCTTGAAATCTAAAATTTAATCATAAGTTCAAAAAACCTCATAGATGTTCCATATGGTTTCAAAACTGTTAACAAACAACCCCTTATCCGCATAAAAAGACTTATATGCCCTTTCTATTTCTTTTTAGAAATAATTTTACCTAATCCTATTTAAAAAAAATAGAAAAACAAAATATATAATTCATTAGGCCCACTTTTCTTTCTTTCTCTCTGTCTCTCTCGTTATCTATACTCTTATTCTTCTTCTTTACCTGATCGATCATCTTTATCCTCAGAAAAGCACACACACTCAAATTTGTACCTGGTATTACCCATTAATGCAAGAATATGAAGTTTATAAACCCCAATTTCAGACTTTAGATAACATCAACCATGTAATAAGTAATATGTACTAAGATTTGGTTCGAAATGGTAGAATCGAGCTTCCAAACATGGAAATCTGGAAACAAATTGTGGAGTGTGTTTCAAAACGTGACTTGAAAAAGGTTCTAATGGCAGTGCAAATGCAAATCGATTTCAGATATGAACACCCACACACTCTCTCTGATAGGTGCATTTTATGCACCTATTTTGCATATTTATTTCCATCCTTTCAGAGCATTCTACTACATAATTTTTGCATTTAGCTAATTATTTGGGCATTTGCATATTTCATTAAGAATGCCTGGTACTTCACCATTTTTTTTATTTTGCAGGCATCATGGAGTATGGCGCATTTCTCATATTATATTTGAGCAACATGACTCGTGGTGAAGCTAGACTGAAAATGGAGCTAACAGTGAAGACTTATTGGAATTTTAGCAAAAAGCATGGGCCATGCCAAAAACATATGGGCAAAAGGCATGACCATGCTAAAAACGCATGGTCTTATGGCAAGCACGTGAGCACTTAACAAAACAAGGGAGGTCGACATTTTATAATGGAAGGACGGTTTCTGGAACAACTTTGGGCGATCTTGGGTAATTCTGGGAGATTTATTGAAGCTTTTGAGAAGACCAAATCATTGCAAACACTTTTGATTTCATTTTAGTAAGCATTAAACATTTCAATTCCATTTTTATTTTGTTTGATTTGTTCTAAGCCATGTGTGGCTAAGAAACCCTAATTTCAAGTTCTTGTTCAAAACATGTTGATTGCTTGACTTGAAGCATATAATTTGATGTTTGATTTGTGATTCTACTCTAGTGATTATGTTTTTGCTTAAACTAGAATCCTTGAATTTGATTTGTGATTGATTGGGCACATTCGTGAATTGAATTTTTGTGTAGTTAATTAACTTTTAGGGCACCTAATCGTTCTATGAAGTTAATAAATGGTAACAAACAATAAGTTTTCTTATTGTAAAACATATATCACATGTTTTCACACTTCCGAGTGTATGAGAAGAAATGAACATTGGTGGGAAGCTTGTACAAAACTTAATGCAGTTTTTCAATACAATCTAAGAGCGTGTTTAGGTTGAATTAGTAAAGCTAGGTCTAGTCAAAGAACATGTTTTGGTTAGATAATTTGACAAGCGAGAGGTATTAGAGCGTGTTAATATCTTTCAGTGCCAACTTAGAATAGCAATCATGAATTACATCAAGTCATAATCAAGTTGAACAACAACATTGAGAACTAGAATTAGAACAATTCAATCAAATTGTTTACAAGTTTATTTCATTTTGTGCATGCTTTTAAATTAGATTGTTATTTTATTATTTTAGTTTTGCAAACAAAACCCCCTTTGTGAACAAAGTACCTTGCGCAAAGAGGTATAGACTTTTATCCCGTGTCTCCCTGGTTCGACCTTGCTTGCCTTGTACTACTTTTTAGTGCATTAAAGCAGTGTATTTGGAGTCTGTTGTACCCCTATCATTTGTTGGATTTGACACGCCTAACACTCTCTAACGATGGAGGCTTACCACTAGAGGTGGTGCCACCTGAAGTCGTGGAAGTCTCAGAAATAAACACCTACTCGATCCTTCGACGAACTCGACGAAACCATCAGATTCGACATCGATACAACATGCACTTGATCACTAGCAACACACCTCCTACACCTACCTCCGGAAAAGACACGTCTGAATCGATCAGATCAAAAGTTGACGTTGGCGGTGGCTGAATCAACTCACAAGCCCTACTCTAAATCTGCTTCAACCACTCCTCTTATGCATTAACCATGTCTGTATTTTCTGGTTCTAATTCTCCCCCACTCTTTTTTTTTATTCTAACCAGAATTGTATGTGTATTCATAAGAGTACTGAAAAAGGATCTAAGAATGGGATGCCTATATCTGAAACCTAGATAAAGATCTGCAAATTCATCACAAATAAAATGGAAAACAAAAATGGAAGAAACCCAGATCATAAAAAATACCTAAAATCCTCAAATTTGGAATCAAAGGCTACAAAATTCCACTAGAATTATTGAATTCAACAAGTGTTCTTCACACAACTACTTGTTTCCCCTATTACCAGATTACAAATAAATGTAAAAATGTGAACATTGAAGACACTTGTAAGTTGGAAGAGATCTATACATAGATGGATACATATAACATATGTTTGTATGTATAGAGAGAGAGAGAGAGAAACTATGAAAGTGCCTGGATTTTCTGAGACGAAAATGGACATGTGTTATATACATAAAGAGTGATTATTGCAAGTCCTCAACTTTTGAAGCATGTAATGATATCTATGAGGTTCATATGCAAGATCACAAATTGTCAAAGTAGGAATGAAATCCAATGCAATGTTATTAACCATATTGCGTTGCTTGGCCTCCAAGCTTAGCATTTTGGGATTTTAAACATGGTGGTGTGGGAGGTGAAGGTAATAAGATAGATGAGAACACATTAATGAAGAAAAAGTTAAACCAAAACACAAATAAAGAAATTATAGAGAAGATGTCAATATCCATATATATCACCAATTTTCCACTATATATGGAAAGTTGTATGATTATGATGTGTACTATTTAAGAAGTTTAGATCGCAACAAAATGATCTAAACTAGGAAATAGATTTACATTTATTACATTCTTAAAGGTGATAGATCTGGTTGAATTAGAAAGAATATTAAGGAATGTGTGGATTAGGAATCATCATATATTTTTTTGCATCGATGGAATATATATACACCAAAACAAAATGGTAATGGTACAATAAAAGGAGAAAGCAAATCAAGAACAAACTAAGTCCTTTGCAGAGGTCGTGGTTAGAAATTAGGGGTTTAAATTCTCAAAACAAATGAAATTAAGGAAAATGTAATAATGATGCCAAAAGAGTGTTTGCTAGAAGTTCTTAATCCTTAGTTTATTATGTTGGTGGAAGTTATATCAATTTTGGTTATTGGGAATTTACATTTTGTAGCTAAGAAAGAAGGTTTTAATAACATGGAAATTCATTACATAGTAGGTAAATGGGTATGATTAGAGTTTAAAACAAGGATTGTATTTCTCAAGTTCAAAAGTCATGAGTCTTTTAAATCCATCTTTAATGAGTTTCGTTTAGTATAGAAGGGATTCAAATATGAAGACATAGTTATATTGTTGGAGATTGAAGTTTACCTCTTTCTTCATGGACTCTAGTGGTCTATAAGCGAGTAGAAAGTAATTGTAGAAAAAATCTACT